CCCCAAAACCCCAAAACCCCAAAACCCCAAAACCCCTGAATTCTTTGGAAAAATTGAAAACATTCGTATTAATGAATAGATAGATCAATTTCATTATTCCGATGCGCCCTCAATGGATTCCGAAGCTTTCTACTTATCTTCGCTTTAGAAAGTTTGGAACTTGCCTTATGGTGGTTCTCAAGAGAATTGTTATTTCTCATCCTTTGTATATTCCGAAGATTTGGAGCTGATACATCATGCCTAAGGTTTTAAATATAGAATTACATTTGCAGCAGAGATCTTCCTCTATTAGGAGGGGCATGCTTTGATATCTCTGGGAGATAAATCTCATCCTTTCTATGATAAAGTCTTCTACTCCTCTCCCTTGGTTTTGAGATGCCATGAGATAAATCCCTAATTTTTATTGGATTCTCAGATTCCCTCTGATTCTGATGATAGATATGGTGCTTCATTGATCCTTCTGAGCTATTTCCAATAGATATTCCTGAATTTCTCCTGAAAGGAGTTCTTTCCCTAGAATATTCTTGAACACTTCTACTAATATTACTTATAAAATTACTGATTTTTATTGACCCTCTTCGGATTTTTAGGGATGATGAGATACAAATGATCCCTGGCAGAATCCAGGGCATCATTCTCATAAGGAGATACCTCATTATGATACGAAAATTCCCTATCGTTTTTCTTCTGTAGTAATCTTTCATGCTCTCTTTGTATGTACTTCCTGCTATTTTTCATATCTGAGCCTTGCTTCAAAGATTTGTTTTAACTTTTGTCTTTCTCTTCTTCTCTTAATTTGTGCGACCTATTTTTAGATTCCTAATGTACCTGTTCCTTGATCTCATCAAGATGAACATTAGACTTGAACTTGTACTTCTTACTAGGTTTGGCGCCTTCTTCTGTATCTCTGACATTGGTGTTAAAAGGCAAGGCAACACCTTTCTTTTGAGGTGTCAAGCTCTTCCATTTCTCTACCTAAACAAGTTCAGGGATGTAAGTTACATGTTGATCAAGAAGCTCATTTGCTTCTTTTTCGATTGATTCAGTATTAGACATCTTCTTCTTTATTTCCTCAATTTTTAACTGGATTCGTTCTTTCTCTGCCCGAAGAATGTTCAGCTCTGGATTATCTAGGGGTTAAGGAAGGAGTACCTTTGTTACGGTCAAATTTAGCAGAAATAATGTACCGGATTTTATCCCTGTGCTTGTTCATTATGATTGTTTCAGGAGAAGGCTCCTCTATGATTTCAGGCCCTTCTTGAGGTTCATCTTTAGAAGTTTTAGCATTTCTATTTGAGTCTTGTTTAGTGTCTTTTCGTGGAGTTGAATCTAGCTTGGATTTCTGAGCGAGAGAAGAGTGTGGGTTATATGGAGGAGGTTTATTCTTCTTTGTTGGCTTTGACTTTTGAAGCTTCGGATTTACAGGATTTCCTCCAACAGATTTCAAATTTTCATCATCTGATTCTCTAATATTAAGATCTAAATCTATAATTCTTAATTTACCATCTTTAGACGGGTCAGGTTTTAAAGTGTTATTCTTAATCTCTATCTGGCCTTCCTTTTCCTCAACTTGCTCCTTCCTTTCTTGAACTAACTCCTTCTTCTCATCCTGCTTCCTCTCCTCTTCCTCCTCCTTCCCTTCCTTCTCCTCCTTCTCCTCCTTCTCCTCCTTCACCTCATCCCTCTGCTTCTCCATCTCCATCTCCCCCTTCTTTTTCTCTTTCGCTACCTCCTCCTTCTTCAGCTCCTCATAAATCTTCAGCAGCCCTGCTTCATCCTGCTTCAAGGCATCAACAAATTTCCTTTTCTTCTGTTTATAGATCTTCTTGATCTCCCCAATTCTGCCGTTGAGCTTATCTATCTCGTCCTTGTATTTTTCCCTGAAGAGCTTGGGCAAGGCATGAACGAACTGGTCGAAGGTCATCTGGTTGCTACTTTCTAAGGAGTTTAGTTTGTATACGGTCGCTCACCGACGCTTGTCGAGAGGAACCTTGAAGTCCTTACAGAACAGCACGAAGTCACCCATGTTAAGAATAGAGGTTTGCTTTTGGATGTTATCGAAAGTTGATAACTTCCCGATCATTAGGTGCTGGCGAGAGTAGAATTTAAATATCTCCTTTAGATCTTTAATCCTCTGCTTTTGAGTGTTAAGAGGAGTCTCTCTAAGTTTCTTCCTAAGAGTCTTCTTACTAGGAGTCCTCTCTTGTGACGCATCAATTCTTTTCTTTAATAATTCAATCTTTCTTCTAATTTTTGACCTCTCATCATTATTTTCAGAAATTCCAAACTCTGTGTTGAGAGTATAAAGGTCTCTGAGTAATAATAATTTTTCTTGATTGCCTTCCATTTCAGCTTGTCTCATCATCATTTGTAAATCCTCTTCTTCTATGAAAGACATGGCATCCTCAGGATGAGTGGGTTCTAAATCAGTAATTTTAGGGTCAAAGGCTGCTGTCTTTTTCATTGTACTCACAAATAGGTAGTCAACTCGGAGGTTATAACCTAATTTATTTATTAACTTCTTCATTGCCTTCGATTGTCAAGTAGTCCACCAGGATATCTCTAAAAGCATTGGTATCAAGAGATCTCTGACCTCTATATTTAGATGCTAAATGTTCTAAGGTCTGATAAAAGTGTTGCTTTTGGAATGGTAAGACCTTATCACTCTCAGTTTCACCTCTTGCAAAACTTATTGGAACAAGTCTGATGGATAATATTTCCTCTAAACCATCGAAGCAGTTGCCAATATCATTGACTCCTACTACAGGAGTATTGAGGAAGGAGTAGCCTCTGAACAGCTGTTTGATCTTCTCTTCATGGTGAAAAAATCCCTGAGTGATCAGATGGACTGAAGTAGCTATTGAGGTTTCCATTTTCAATTTTTATAATTTAACAAGGGGTTTTGGGGTTTTGGGGTTTTGGGGTTTTGGGGTTTTGGGGTTTTGGG